TTTATTCACACTGTTAAATAAGTAGCAGGACAAAAGACTTCAAGTGACATTAGGTCCAAGTTGATGATTAAAGACTTATTCTTTTGATTGAAACATAGCAGGAGCACACTGCAGAATTTGTCCCTACTTTCCAGAGTTTGCTTTAGCCAAGACATTATTTGAATATTTCCAGGATTACCCTCATAAACAGAATTGAGATCCTTTCCAAACTGGCTCCAAAGATAATTTGTGGTAAGCTTTACCATATTTAAAATGCACCTTGGAAGTAGGGATGGGTGAGTGGGAAGTGAGTGACACTGTGGCCCCTCCAAATCACCCAACACCATTTAAGAAGGTGGGAATATTACATCTATCTTGGACCATTCACTTCATGGTGTTATTAACTTTATCAAATACATTTCACCATCTGCTTATACTCTAGCAAGATAACAGCTGTTTTAGTGGGTTAGGACAAATTCTCAGTGTAAATGGAACCTGAATGAAAGAGGGGGCTACATTTGTCCAGGGATGATTATGGCAAGATCATTCTTCAGTAAATACGTGATTATTTGAACAAAACAATATTAAGAGTTATATAGTTCTAATGCAAATATATGAGACCTTCAGTTCTGACTGTTTGGCACTGATACAACCATCAGTTCTTTTCAAACATTTGCACATTGTCACTTTCTGATGATGGCTAAACTGAGTTCCTCTTTGCATGAAACATTTTACTCTTTATTCCTAATAGGCTTAATGGAAAGCGTGCAGATGTAGTATGTAACAATCTAAGATGAGTGAAAAGGGGTAGAAGAGAAGAGCACTTGGAAGGAAAATATTTTTAAGAATAAATCTCTCTCACCCCTATGGGAATTATTAGTTCCACTGAATACAGTGTTTGGGCACAGGAAAAGGGAATTTTCGGCTGATTTGGACAACTGGTTGGGTTAGAGAACATGATAAATCATGCTATGATATGATGGATATGAGGAACAGCAAGCTTTTACAAGAGCCAGCATGGTGTAGTGGTTTGAATGTTGGACTATGACTCTGGAGACCAGGGTTCAACTCCTGGCTCGGCCACAGAAACCAGTGAGTGACCATAGGCAAGTCATACTCAGCCTTGGAGGATGGCAGTGGCAAAACCCTTCTAAAGAAACTTGCCATTAGGGTTGCCATCAGTCAAAAATCACTTGAAGACACACAACAACAATGAACAAAATGTTTATATATTCTTCTAGATTTCGTTTATTTGTTTTTAATCAACTGCAATACAGTGTTTCATCAGAAAACTGGGATTAGTCTTGGCTATAGTTTCTTGAATTGGGCCAGGTTCAAACCCTAGATCATGAAGCTAGGTGTCTGAACAGTTAAGATTAACTGTGGTTTAGATATAAATTGGGTTATTTATGGTGTTGTGGTGGTTGCTAATTACGTCAAGTCGACTTTGACTTATGGCAACCCTATGAATGAGAAACCTCCAAGTCAACAACCCTGCTCACGTCCTGCAGACTCAAGGTTGTGACTTCCTTGATTTAGTCTGTTCACCTGTCTTTTCCAACTGTTGTTAATGTTGTGTGCCTTGACATTGTTTCTGACATGGTAACCTTAAGGTAACTCTATCATGGAGGCTTCTAGGGCTGAGAGTGTGTGGCTTTCCCAAGGTCACCAAGTTGTTTTCCATGGCCAAGCAGGGCACTGAACCCTGATCTCCAGAGTCATGGTCCGACGCTCAGACCCCTTCACTACGCTAACTCTCCACTTCCTGCTTTACTAGGCATTATTGTCTTAGGCAAGTCACACACTCTCAGCCTTAGAAGAAGGTCATGGCAAATCCCATCTGTGTAATTCTTTCCAAGAAAACCCAGTGATATGGTCGCCTTAGGGTCACCATAAGTCAGAAATGACGAAGGCACGCAACAACTAATTGTCTTTATTGCCTGAATAATATTTTCACCAAAGTCCATTCTCTCCAATACATGAAATAAATAGTTCCAAGAAATATGTTGCCTAGCAACCACTTGTATGCTTTGCTGAGAAAGGAAATGTTGATTACTGATGTAAAACGTTTAACTTCTACATCCAGGTTAGGACTGAATCTCTGCCGCCTTCAAGGAAGCTAGTACCATTCCTATTCCTACTGAAGTAATAATATCTGCTAGATAGATTTATAGCCTGTCTTTCCTTTAGCAAGCTTGCTTTATCCTCACAAAATACTGCAAGGTAGTTCAGGCTGAGACAGCCAGCCCAAAATCACTTAATGAGTTCCATAGCAGAATGGGAACATAAACCTGGATCTCCCAAGTCCTAATCCAGTGCTCAGGGGTGAGTGACATAAGGACAGTTGTTCCCCCTATCACTGACAATTAGCTATACTTGCTAGGTATCCTGGAAGTTGTAGTCCGGCAATACTCGAAATACAATAAGTTGCCCGCCCTTGCACCACCAATTGCATTGCATTGCGTAACTACTTCTTGGATTCCACCAGACATTTTCTCTTTATTAGATGTGTTCAGTCATGGTGGGCAAGAGTTAAGTACGTATTTTCCGACATATAAGACGACCCGACGTATAAGGCGACCCCCCATTTTCCCAGTCAAAATATAGAGTTTTAGCACCTCTATCTTCCTTATTCTTATACCCGGCGTATAAGACGACCCCCCCACTTTAACCACAGATTTTGCAGGTTAAAAAGTAGTCTTATACGCAGGAAAATAAGGTATATAGGTGGCTGTCTAGGCTTATCTGAGCATCTTGCCTAGATCCTTGGATTTCAATAATTGAAAGTCATCTGTATGACTGTGACCTGGACACCTCTGTGGATTGAATTGTTGTTAATTAATACCCTATTAACCATGACTTCTACTAGTGAAACACTGCTGCCGCCTAATTATAGTGTAAATAACTGATAATTCTATCATTAATTTGTTATATCTTGAGCCAGAATAGCAATTTCCTGGATTTTAAATCAGTAAAAGATAAGGAGTTGCTAAATAAATGAATCTTACATAAGGAAGAGTTGACTGTAGAGAAATCTATAATACTGTAAGAGGCTAAGGAAATTGTCATTAGTATCAGAATGGGAGTGTTATGAGTGTGTACTTGTTTTTGTCTGTGAACTCCTGAAGAACAAGGGACCCATACATAATATTCCAGATTTTAAAATGGGCTATATCTGATATTCACCCATCCCCGATGTCTATGAATTCCGGCATTTACTAATAGAATGGAAGGCTCGTAACATACCTAATGAAATCAGATGCTGTTGTTAACTAGCACAGTGAAGACACAATATAGTGTCTTATGTTAGATATTCATTATTTGTTGTTAAGACAGCAGATCCTGACTGATCTTGAAACGTAAACAGGGTCAGCCCTGGTTATACTTGAATGAAGAACTGCCAAGGGGTGTCACGTGCTGCAGGCCATATTTCAGAGGAAGGACCACCTCTGAGTATTCCTTGCCTAAGAAAACAATGTGAAATTTATGGGTTCTCCATAAGTCAACAGGTGGCTTAAGGGCAATTACTTTACTTCTGGTAAACAGGAATTGCTACTCTGGGGAGGGATTTATATCCTCATTCTTAAGTGAGCATCTTTATGCATCTTAATGAAATAAAGTTGTGTGTATTTCCTACCACCCAGCTAAACACCTTTTCACATTAGCTCTTCATTGCAGGTATGAATCATACTAGTATTGCAGATGTGCCATTCACACCAACTTAATTCTCTTTTATGAGAACTGAGATTATGTACCATTCTCAACATCGATTCTTTCAACTATATGACTGCATATTGATTTGTTACTTCTGCACAGAGACTTTGGCAGAGTCATTTTCTGTATTATAGATTACAGTTGTCCCTCTGTTCTTGCGGACTTGAGATCCGCAGTTTTGAATATTCACGGAGGGGCAACCTCCATTAAAATCAATGGGATGTGCTTTTGCTGGTGCCCTGAGAACTATTGCTCTAGAGGAAAGTGATGATATGATATGATACCTTTTTTGACACAGAGCAAACATTTTGCTCTGCTTCATAAAAATACCTTTTATTCTAGTTAAACATAGATGGTTAACTGAAAATGCATGCCTCTGTCGACCCTTGTGTTATAGTGTGCTTTTAACTTTGACACAATGTAGTATGATTTTCAAGTCATTCTGAATGTTTATTTGAACATTGCCTCCTAATTTAGTAATACTGCTGTTCCAATGTACTTATTTTGAATCATCAAAATATGTTTGACTGCTTTGTTTTCCTATGTGTGTATTAAATTACTATTTTTGCTTCTTTTCCTCTTTTTCAGTACTTTTCTGTACCTGAAATTCCTGGTAGTTTGGGCCCTTGTACTGCTGGCTGATTTTGTTTTGGAATTCAGATTTGAGTATCTGTGGCCATTCTGGCTTTTCATCAGGAGTGTTTATGATTCCTTTAGATACCAGGGACTGGTATGTATAACAGAACTGACTTAATTTTCTTTTAAAATTTGTAGCATTAAAATAGGCAGTAATTTGATTTTTAAAAATTTCCATTGGATCCCAGGATCCAGGTTGCACCTGTGCAATGTGGATCCCTATGTGCACAGGTCCAAAGTGTTTTGGTGCACATGCATTATTGCTATGTGGCAATGTTCTGTTCTGAACATATCCCCTTACACTGGGCAAAGTATGTTCTGTGAGCAATCACAGACTCCAGGGATGATTTTGTGGGTTTGGGGGGTTCCCAGTTTTCTCCAAACATATTTTTTGCCCCCAAATGTCTCCAAACTCCATTGCAGGGATTTTGGGAGAGAGGGAATCTTACCATGTTCCTGCCAGAGCCATTTTAGGCCAGGAGAGGCTTTTTAAAAAACAGTAAAGGAACTGGAGAGAGCCAGCATGGTATAGTGTTGGGCTATAACTCTGGAGATCAGGGTTTGATTCCCCACTTGGCCATTGAAACGCGCTGGATGACCTTGGACGAGTCACACTCTCTCATCTTCAGAAATCCAGTGATAGGTTCAACTTAGGGTCACCATAAGTTGGAAATGACTTGAATGCACACAACAAAAACAAGTGAACTGTGAAAGTGACTTCTGGATCACTTTCCGTTTTCAGTAAAGTGCTCTCCTAGGCCTAAAAGTCCACCACTTTGCAAAAATGCTTCCTGCACCCCATAGAAGAGTTTTGAGAGCATTTGGGTACAGCAGTGGAGTGCAGCCCTCCAAGGTCTCCTGGCAGGCCAGTGCAGTTGGCCACCACTGCCTTACAGTGTCTTGAATGCTGGTTTAAAAGTTCTCCCAGCTTTCAAAAATCACTTTTCAAAAACTACAAGCAGCTGCAAGGAGAGAAAAATCCTACTGTTTGAGCATCTTCTTGGACCCCATAGATCAAGTAGGAAGCGTTTGAAGAACTCAGAATAATATACAACATATTAAGAGGAAAAATGTGTACTGCCTGTTAGCTAACAGTCCATTGTAATTTTTGCCCCTACATAATGAGGCCCTAGCTAGTAGTAATGAATTGTAATACTGAGTTGGTATCAAAAAGTGCCGTTACACATGTTGTAACCCATCATAAAAAAAGAGTGCTCAAATGGACCACATTGATTTGGCAGATACAAGTGTTGGATCTGAATTCACATTGCTGCTTACACAACAGTGGGTGACCTTTGATCAAGTTTTGTTTTGTGTTCTGCAAGTGTAACATAAAAATAGTATGCTACCTCATGGAGATGGAGGTGGAGATATTATTAGAACTGCAGCACAATCGCATTTACTCACAAATAATACCCATAGTATTTACTAGGTCTTCTCTCTAAGCATGCTTTGGATGGTGACAGAAGACTTCACACAGTTTCATCAATACTCTTAAAAGCTCTGACAGCTAAGCTACGCCATTAATATTGTCCCTGTATTACAGATTTTAAGGTTACATAGTGAGCTCTTGGCTGAGACAGAATTTGAACCGAACAGTTTGTGCCTGGTGAAAGAAATTTTATAAAATACTATATATCAGAGCAATGCTTGATCTGCATCGCGAAATTGATCTGGTATGTGAAAAGAGAGCTCTCTTTCATAATATGCAGTTGTAGCACTTTGATTCCACT